CCAGATCTGGGTTTCCCCATTGGGGCTGCACCATTGTGGCAGCAGCTGCAGTCCCCAAGCTTGCCATGCCAGGCAGTGTTTGCTGCTACTGCCCACCCGGAGCTCGTGCGCTGGGCAGCAGCAGCAAACACTGCCCAGTGTGGCAAGCCGGGGGGCCGCAGCTGCTGCCACAATGGCGCAGCCCCAATGGGCAAGCCTGGAGCCAGCACGGGTGGGTTACAAACTGGTGCTGTGTGTGGAGGGAAAAGCAGCCCCTCCCCTGCCCTGTGGCTGGAGCCCCGCACTGCAACGCCTCACAGGCTACCTGGGGCTGCCTGTGCCTGCTAGGAGAGCCCTGCATGGCCTGCGGACGGCTACAGCAGGGAGCTCTGGGCATGGAGCGGGGGAAGGGCTGCTTTCCCCCTGTGCTCAGCACCAGCTCTTCCCCTGCCCTTCGTTCCCCCCCCCCGCTTACCTGTGTTTCCCACGCTGGAGGAGCCACATGGTCCCAGGCCAGAAGCCCCTGCTTGGGCTTGGTGGTGGGGGAGGCTGGGCTGGGCTGGGCTGGGCTGACCCTGCTTTTGCAGGAACTCTCCAGGGCTTCCTCTGGGTCCTACTGCCCTTGGTCCCTGTCATCTTTGACAGGAACCAAGGACAGATACATTTTAATTTTCTAAATTTTTTTAGAGGCCCCACGGGCCGGGTAGAATGGCCTCACAGGCCATATTTTTTCCACCCCTGTACTAGGACAACTGTTAAGATCCACCCTGGATATAATTCCAGAGAGTTATATTAATAAATACTTGTTATTTCAACATAGGAGTGTCCAGAGTGTTGTTGCTGAAAAAACAACATATCAATCCTCTCCTGCGCTTTTTCCTCAACTTATGCTCAGGTATGTATGTATGTATGTATGTAGTCATGTGGCTGCCCAGCCAGTGTGTAGCCTGCAGCTACCTAGCTTGTGTGTACTGCATATATTCAGTCTACAGGTGCAGGCTTACATGGGCACACTGAATTCTATAAGAAGGACCAAACACCAATTAGTCAGCTAGAAGTTTGCCAATTAGATGCACAAATAAGTAAAGTTATTAACTAACATAATACCACATTTACCTGATTCTAAGATGAGGTTTTTTTTCTCTATTTACCATGGAGAAAAGACACTGGGGAAGAGGAAGGAGACCAGAGAGCAGAGGCTGGGGGGAGAAGGGAGCAGAGGGTTGGTGGCGGGGAGCAGGGAGGAGGCAGGCACAAGCAGGAGGTAAGATACTTGACCTCCCCACTTCTTGTTTCCCTGCAGCAGTGGGAAGGATGACTTAAAGATGATCCTACAACCATTTTATCCATTTTACCATTTTAAAATAATTTGATTCTATACATGGAAAATTATAACAAATTAGATTTGTCTTAGAATCAAGTAAATGCAGTATATAAAACTGAAAACTTACGTTGACTGAAATTTCTTCCCTGGAGACCCGAGTCAGAACTTTGAGGATGAGAGAATTCTGTGAGTCATATATGATTGGTATGGCATAAAAAGGATCATACAAAGATTTTTGGACACATTGAGGAAAGTAAAGGCTCTGTGTTAAACTATGGAACATATATTTTGTTTTATTTCATTATTATAATTATTAAGCTTTTTTTTCTCTTTTACAGCCACTGAAAAAATAAAAAAACAGCTCATCATAAACTCACTAGAAATAGGTAGAAAGAGTGAATTCTCCAGGATTTTCACATCTGCCTTGATTCCTACTTTGTGACCTTGACCACAAGATGTGTGACCTGAACAAAACCACAACACAGAACTCAACAGGGGTCCATTTAGCTCCATTAGGTTTGGTCCTAGGTTGCATTTCGCTGATCACTATTGTCCTAAATATATTGGTCCTATATGCAGTGAGAACAGAAAAGAAATTACAGACAGTTGGCAACCTATATATTGTTAGCCTCTCTGTTGCAGATCTTATAGTTGGTGCAGTTGTTATGCCCCTGAATATCGTGTACCTACTGACCCCAACATGGGTCCTAGGTAGACCAATCTGTCTTTTCTGGCTTTCGATGGATTATGTAGCCAGCACTGCTTCCATTTTCAGCCTCTTCATATTGTGCATAGATCGTTACCGTTCCGTTCAGCAGCCGCTCAAGTATCTCAAGTACCGGACCAAAACTAGAGCAACTGTAATGATTTCCGGAGCTTGGCTAGTTTCTTTTCTGTGGATCATACCAATTCTGGGTTGGCATGTTTTTGCCAATGGTGGAGAAAGGAAGGTTTGTGAAGATGTTTGTGAAACTGAGTTCCACAAAGTCACCTGGTTTAAGGCGTCAACAGCCATTGTCAACTTCTATGTGCCATCTTTACTGATGTTATGGTTCTATGTGAAAATATTCAGGGCTGTTCAGAAACACTGTCAGCATCGAGAGTTCATCAATGGATCATATCAGTCTTTCTCAGAAAACAAAATCACACATAGTGGTAAGGTTCAAGAAGAGCAAAACATTTGTCTCCAGAAGGAAAACTTGGGTTTAAACACAAATGTTTTGAAAAAAAGCTTGGTAGATCCCAGCTGCAATGTCAATATCAACTTCCCTCCTGAAAGTGTAGAGGCAAAGCTTCACCGAGGCAGCTCAGACAAAGCCTCAAAGGCCCTCCCTAGAAGAAATGACAGAAAAGTCATGAAACTTAGCTGCTTCCCCCTCACTATTGCCCAGACTCAGCCAGGCATAGAAAAAGTGAGCAGGATGTATACGTCAGTTGATAAGCACAAACAGAATGAAGAGTTGCCTTGCCCAGGGGATCCTGAATTAAGTGACACGTCTGAACACACTTTCGCAGAAGTGGCCTCATGTAAAAATGACTCTGATCCTACTTTGGAGTCAAATTCTGGTTCTGAAGAAAAGACTAATAACAAAGATGTTGTAGGTCTTGGTTACCTGAAAAACACCTGGAAGAGACTGCGCATCCATTCCAAGCAACACATACAAGGACTACATATGAACAGAGAAAGAAAAGCAGCCAAGCAGTTGGGTTTTATAATGGCAGCTTTCATGTTGTGCTGGATTCCGTACTTTGTGGTGTTTATGATAATAGCTGTTTGTAGGTGTGAGAAGTTTAAGTTACACATGTTCACTATCTGGCTTGGCTATGTGAATTCCACCTTTAACCCACTCATCTATCCTCTCTGCAATGAGAACTTCAAGAAGATTTTCAAAAAGATCCTTCGTATCTCTTCATAATTTATCTTGTGGCTGATTTTATTTGGTGTGGAAAAACAAATGAAGTGTTCATGACTCTTCAGTGACACACAACCTTTCACTTTTTCAAGGGAAAAATAATCATGCGTGAGGTATAAAGCTTTGGAAGATTATCTGTAAAACAAGTGTCTGTGAAAGTGGGCAATGTGTATGTTCATATGGCAAATAGGAGCTTAAGAGTTCAAAGTATTTATAGGGGATCTGGCTTTGACCAGGACTCCTGATAACTCAGGGGCCAGTCTAAGGACTGCTAGGCTATTGTGCATTTTTTACATCTTTTAAGACTACCTCTTTCCATTATGTATACCAAAACTGGAGAGAAGATAGAAATCTTCAGTGATATAGAAGTATCTGGAAAATTTATAGAAAGAAACAGACTGCAGTTTATATTATTAGCCAAATACTCATTTTGACTTCTATAATATACATTTTTAAACCTGGGAACATGCATCTTGTTGAAGGCATAGATTGCTTACCACATAATTTTTTTATGTAGTATAAATATGGAGTTTGAATTGTTGTTTTTTTTCAAATGTATCCTGTTTATTTATAATTTCCCCGGTATAATGCACTTTTTAGAGATACCAAGTTGTATTGTGATGTGCTATAAATCTTGGGTTTTGTGTTTAACATTCTTCAGTGTTTGTTCATTTCACTGGAAAACACATTAATAATTTTCTATGCTTCAACTATTTTCCATGTTTATTGTATGTAAGACTTCTACCAGCCACTATATGCTAGTTACTCCTGTTAAGAAAGTGCACAATTGATTCTGGGCTTGTAGAGATACAGTTATGTTAGAGTAACAGTTATGTACTATTTCTCCTTCCCCTAATAAGTTCTGCTAAAGTTAGTGCATGCATGCTACCTTTCACTATATAAAATATTCATGCAAATCTGCATCCAGCAACTAAGATTTTAGAGAAAGAGAAATGGATATCCAAAGTATGCGTTTCTTTTGCTGTCACTTAAATGTAATTGTATCTCAAAAATCAAGTTGAAAATTCTATTTACACATTCAGGGCTAAACTATAAATGTGCCAAGGAAACAAGACCGGTTCTACTTTGACTGAGAGAGGTATTCAACTGGAAGTGAAGCTAATAAGTAACATTTGCAGAGTCACTGGCTGATCCATTGTTCTAGGTACTGCAGCAATCCCTAAAAGCAGATATTCCTATCCACACACTATGAATCAATGGTGACCCAGTGTGTACATTTAAATTTGGATTTCTAAACATAAGTTCAAGAACCAAAACATAGTTAATTAAAGTGTTTCTACTGGCGTAAGTGCTGGGCCTGCTTAAGGTGTACCAGAATAATCACACCAAGATATGATCATGCAGAGGACAGGAAGGATATTTAGCAATATATAAGCTGACAGCCACATTATACTATGACTGCAGCATAGCAACACATGCCTCCATGTGCTCCTTTGATGGAACTAGTTAAAAGAAATAGTAAGCAGAACTTCATTAAGAGTTCATCCCTGTGGGGTCCCCCTCAGCGGTATATATCATTGGATAGTGTGGCAGCCCAGACATAATACTACCAGCTTCCATAACATATAATCTCTAGACTTCATCAGGTATACTTCATATAATGTCTAGGCCTCAGCAGATATACTTTAGTCTTGTGATTTAGGGATGGGTTGAGGAAACACTGTTTTTTCTTTCATACCCCTATAGTCAGGAAGGCCTCATGCTCTTGCTTTCTAAAGGACCTCTAAAATTCAGCCTAACAATACTATCCTCCTGCTGCCATCTTGATATCCTGGTGCATTTCTTTGTGAGAATGAAAACAGTGTTTCAGTACTTCTAAAATTGCTAAATTAATTTAGCAACAAAGATATAATGGGCTGAGGAGAAGAGCTTTCTCCTGCCTACTCTTACCCTATTAGGAAAAAATATTGTAGTGTAATAGAAGAGAGGAACTGGGAGTTATGTCATCAAGGTTCTATTTTCTGAGTGCATACAAATTTGCTGAGTGATCTTGAGCAAGCTAAAACTTTGCTGTTTTTCTTACTGTTCATTTGTTAAGTAAGCATAAGCAAAGGTGTGATAAGAGACATGGGCAGTACTGGCACAGGCCCTTGGAATCTTGAAACAAAAGATACAATATAAATGCAAAGTATTGTTTATTCTCTTTCAGTTATCTTGTCTTTAAGATCCTTAATGTCATCAGATGTATTTAAAGAACTCAGTATTAAAGGACAAGATATTCAGTTTGCATTTTGCTAAAAATGGAAGATGGACAGAATGGAAAACATAACTATCATTGAGATGCTTTAACCAAATCTATTCCGACTATCTCATAGTAGAGTCAGAGAAGGGGGGAAATAAATGTTAGGAGTCTATTTCATCAGAGACATGAAAGAAAGAAGATCAAGGCAGAAATACTCATTTTGTAAATAAGAAGCAACAACTTAATGGTGAAAGTGATTAACTACTGGAACAACCTACCCAGACATGTGGTAAATCCACCACCATTTGGAGCATTTCAGTTGTAATTGGATCTCTCTCTAAAACATGCTCTAGTTCAGGTAGTTTTAGCCTTCCACACATTTTCCAGGGGATTATAACCATACTTTCTAAATGGGAGTAGCCCAGGATTAATAGGCAAGTAACTTAGAAGGGCTCTGGGAAAAGTTTAAAATAATTCAGTCACTGGACTGGATAATACTCATTTACATAATAAGAAAAATTAATTTCCTCCACTGTAGGAACTGATGTTGGAATTCTCTGACATATATTATGCAGGTGGTCAGATTCAGTTAGGAAAGTAGTCCCTTCTAGCCTTGGAACCTGTCACTCTATAAAACAACAGGGCTGTGAGTAATGCCTGCATTTCATTTCAGTTTTGGATTCAGCATTTCAATGGAACAGTGATTCGTTTTGGTGTTTTGAATTGCTGTTTCATTTTGTTTAAGCCAAAAGTCTTTCAAGTTTTGTTGCTGTTTCAGTGTTTCGGTCATAGGCTATAATGGGGAATGACTAAAATGCGTATAACTTTTTTCATTTCTTGCCTGCTTCTGATGAAAATTGCAAAAATGGTAGCCCGTTCAGAGGGCATGAAGCCTGCCAAGACTCAAGGAGATAGATGCAGGGGTTTCTGGGAAACTGCACCTCAAGGTGCTGAAAGCAAAACTCATGGCCCCCACTGAGGCCATGAAGTCTGCCATGTTTCAAGGAGATAGGTGCAGGGGTTTCTGGGAAACTGCACTTTGTCACAGAGTAGGGTCTCTAGAGATGGCCGTAATACTCCTAGGGCCCTGTAACCATGCCAGCTCCACCTTGTGAGCATCTTCTCTTCTCATCTGCCACCACATCTTGTTGGAAAAGATCATAGATAGGGAGGCTGCCCTTGAGTTTCTGCTCAGTCACGGTCCTAATGGACCCCACTAAACCCTGTAGGTTCTTGGACCCCTTGCTGAGACCAACTTTAAGTAGGTTCCTCAAGCAGTCACCCTGAGCCTTATGGGCTAGATGAATGGCTCCAACCACCCCTTACGATGCCCCATGCCTTGCAGATCATATATCAATATCATCCCTGTAACAGGGTCTCAGTCTCACTCTACCTTCTATTGTTGCTGGGCTCTCTATGCCCCCTGTCACTGCACCCTCACTGGTCACACGATACGGCAGTGTGCCCCAATGAGGTCTCCTCCTCCCCTACAACCTCATCCTGGCCCACCACTTTAAATAACAACGGGTAAGCAGCGCAGTAGCACTAGCATCTCAGGCAGCCAAACTGTCTCCGAGCCTTTCTTTCCTTTCCTGCAGGAGCTTCTTCTCCAGCAGCTGCCAGAGAGCTCTCCCTACCAGCCACAGCTCTGGAACCTAGATGTGCCCAGGGCCCTGCCACCTTCTGGTCAGCTGACTGGGAACAAGTGCTAGGGGTGTAGGTTGTAGTTGTGTTTGTCTAAGGACATGGTAGACAAGGTTCATGGTGTCAATCCAATATCTTTTAGTAAACCAACTGAATAGTTGGAGAAATATATCTTGGCAAGCTTTTGGGTTGAAAACCCTTTGTCAGGCTGAGGAAGCACCTGCAGTTGTTGTGTGTGCTCTCCCTGGATGGAAGGGATAGTAAGGAAGCCAGAGGCTAGCATGCAATGTAGGCAAGAAAGCCAGTCAGTGAAAATGGAAATGGAAGCATCAGGGGGTGAGAGAGAGGCTGGGGTAGGGGGAAGGAGGATGTAGCAGGTGAAAGTGGAGAGGTACCTGAGGAGTCAGATATCTGGCAGGTTGTAGTGTGTCATAATTCCAATGTCTATATAGGTCCTTGAGGTACCTAGGAGGTTCATAGGCTCATCTGTGAAAAGTGGTTTGTAAATTCAAACAAGCACTGCACCTTGCTAGCCTCATCACCAGAAGCCAACTTCCTACAGCCCAAAATACACTGAATGGATCCAGACCATTCCATGACAAAACATGCAAAACCTGCCAACAATATCTTCAGTATGGAGATATCTTCAAAATACATATCTCCATCAAGGCACCAAATGCCCAGTTGGAAAATACGTAGGAGACACCAAGCAACAACTGTGCACCAGAATGAGCGCACACTGAAAATCTATCAAAGACAAGAACACCCAAATCTAAAAAGAGAGGCGTATAATGGATGGAAGACAGGAAACACTACTAAGGAGGACTATACTGCACCGGTCTGCACCTGCAGGGAGCAAACTAGAAAAGCCAAGGCTGCAACTGAACTCCATCTGGCTACACGAATCAAGGGCAATAACAAGTCCTTCTTCAGATATGTGGGGAGTTGAAAGAAAAACAAGGGCAACATTGGACCCCTGCTAAATCAACTGGGGCAGCTGACTACCAACACCCAGAAAAATCTGATCTACTTAATGATTACTTTGCGTCAGATTTTCACCATCCCAAAGAGACCACCCTGCCAAACATGTTGTGGGATGACCAGGGTGAAGATGAATATATGCCTACCATTGGCATGGATCTTGTGAGGGAGCATCTTGAGAGGCTGGATCCCCATAAATCAGCTGGTCCAGATAGGTTGCACCCAAGAGTGCTAAAGGAAGTGGCAGACATCATAGCACAACCACTAGTGAGTATATTTGAGAATTTGTGGCACACAGGTGAAGTACCTGAAAATTGGAAGAGGGCCAATGTGGTGCTCATCTTCAAGAAAGGCAGGAAAGAAAACCCTGAAAACTACAGGCCAATCAGTTTCACCTCAATTCCTGGGAAGATTTTGGAAAAAATTATCAAATAAACCGTTCTTGACAGAAGGCAACATTCTGAGGGATAGCCAGAATGGGTTTGTTGTAGGTAGGTCTTGCTTGACCAATCTCATTTCCTTCTATGACCAGGTGATGTATCACCTGGACAAAAGGGAAGAGGTTGATGTAATATATTTGGACTTTTAAAAAGACTTTGACCTGGTATCCCATGATGTCATGGAAAAATTGGGCAACTGCAGCCTCCATTACTCCACAGTCCAATGGCTGGGGATCTGGCTCTGAGGTCAGAGTCAGAGAGTGGTAGTTAACAGAACTGAATCAACATGGCACTCAGTGACTAGTGGCATCCACCAGGGCTCCATTCTTAGATCTGTACTCTTTAATGTCTTCATAAAAAAAGATCTGGACACTGGTGTCAAAAGCAGACTGGATTGACCCAAAGAACCTTGTCTGCCTGGTGTGTAATTCTGCAGCTCTGCACCTCCCCTACACTGTGGCCCATGCCTCGCAGGTGGCATCCCAGGCAGCTAAGCTGAGCTCACTTGGATCCTCACAACTCCACTGCAACCAGCAAGCCTCAGGCCTCTCAAATATCTTAGGGGTCTGTGCTTTCCCCAGCCAGGACTGTGTGTGTGTGTGTGTGTGTGTGTGTGTGGTGGCTGGAGGTTATAAGGTGCCTCCTACCCACCTTTCACCCAGGGAGTTGTTGGTCCTGGCATGTCCTGGGAGCTGGTGTGCCACCGGCAGTCCCACCAGGCCTCCCAGCCATGGCAGGGTGACATTTTAGATCATGCCTATGACCTTGGGTCTCCTCTTTCCCCATAGTCCCATCCCATACCTCCAAGCTTACCCTGGCACAGGAACTCAGCAGGGACATGTTCTTCCCTTGCTGGCTGGTGATGCACTGAGAGCTGCCTCCAGCTCTGAGAGTGGAGCATTAAATGGTTCAGAAATCAGAAACCAAAAGGAAATAGGTGGAAATGGAGTGAGGAGAGTGACACTCCATCTGCACCTGGAGCTTGGGGAACCCCACCAGCAGCAGGTTCACCTTGAGGAACACCAGCTGCTCCACCAAACCAGGATCCAAAGAGGTGTGGTGAGGTGCCACAACATCACCAGTAATGCTGAACACCCTGTCACTTGGAACACTGGTCGGTGGACAAGACAGGTGTTCCTGGGCAACTGGCCAGATCCTGCCACATCTGGCTGCGGTTTGCCCAGTAGGCCAAGGGGTCACGTAGCAGCAGCTCCATGTCCCCGGCGAGATAGGCAGCCACCAAGGCCTCAGTGCTACCTGCCTGATGGTGGGGTCTGGTGCCTCTAGACCCCACCATGGAAACCATGCCCTTGGCCCACATTGGCAGTGGCTGTTGTAGAGAAGGAGACTGGCTGGTGGATAACGTGCTAGCATGGGATAGGGGATCCCTGTCTTCCACATCATCCTCCTATGCCCTTCTGCCTCCCTGACTCTGTTCACCAGCACCTCCATCCAATGATCCAGGGTTTTGCTGCTGCATATGCTCCCCTTCACCCTCGGGTCACACATCCAGACCAGCACATGGGCCATACTGGATCACAAGGGATCAAGCCATTTCCTGATGCCCTCCTTCAGCCACCTCGCCAGTGCCTGCATGTCTGGTGGCAGTGGCTTTCTCCAGCCAGGAACATTGATCTCCTGGAACTTCTCCATTTGGTTCTAAAGTTCCCTCACTACAGGGATCAGCTAGCTAAGAAGGGCATCGGCAGTGCTGAGGATCTCGGTGGCCTCAAGGAAGGGCTTGAGGACCAGCAAGATCTGGGAGATGGTATTACACTCAGCTCTTTTAAGGGGGGCGCTGATTCCAATCTTCCTGAGCAAGGTGATCTCATGAATG